TTTTTTTTTTTCCTCCTCTTCCCCCCGTTTTTACCCCCCCGACCTGGAAGTGAATCTGCCTCAGCCGGCCGGGAAGCAACGCCGAGCCCGCCTCCCTTAAAGGGGCCGCGCCAGGGACACGCTGCCTACTCTCCGGCTTCATGGGAGCCTTAAAATCCAGGGTTAAGGGTGAAAAGCCTAAAGTGTGAGGAGAAGGGTCTATTATTCAACAAAGCGCATTGGCCTCGCGTGTTACGGTGTGTGTGAGACGCCTCTTTGCTTTCATTTTAGAGCGAGGATGAAGCAACACCGAAGCGCCGGTGAGTCTGTCCAAGCGGAGGCTGCTGAGGACCGAAGCAGTTTTCTAGCAGTTCCTTGCCTTTGGGTAACCTCTCGCAACCAGGAATTCAGCGTCAGCTTGTTGCTCACAGATCAGCCTTTGTAATTTAAATGTTTCCTGCCTAAACTAGTTAATGCTGGTAATATGAATAATTACCTGCTCCGGTACAATAGGTTTTGCCACCTGCTTCGAAGCTGCAGAGGAGCTTTGCCATAAGCTTTTATACAAAATAATTTCAGGTTTCAGATACAGTAGTAATGGAAACCTGTCTCCCAACAAATACATAGTATAATGTATTGTTGGTAAAGAGAATACAGTTATTTTTTTGGTTTCAGGATGGAAAGTAGAGTGCTACAATTACCCTGTCCAAATACAATGCAATTATAAAGAGTTTACCATTAAACCTTTTAAAGAATTGCTGATCCTACACACAGCAGTTTTGAACAATGGTTGTTTGCAAGGCAGCAAAACACATAAATAAACTTCAAGAGACAATTGCTAAAATAATTTGTGTCCATCATTACAAGATGACAAAGTATTCCAGAAATATCTAACACAATTTTGCTTCTTTAGGGATTACGTAACAGAGGTCAGTTATAGTCCCAATTCTGTAGATTAGGATGTTGAGGCAGAGAAAATAAATTGCATGCTCAGGGTCTGACAAGAACAGAATCAAAAGTTCTCATGTTCTGAATGAAACCACTTAAAAATCTAATCTGCTTAGAAGAAATCATTTATATAATTACAGACAGAAATTATTTTAGACTGGGGGGGTTGTGTAGTACTGTTAGTCCTAGTCTATTACATGTGTCTTCCACCTCCTAATGTCTTTTGGAGCTTGGAGGCTGTTTTTTCCACACCTGTTGACAAATTCACTCATTCACTTTAACCTGAGTATCACCAGATACCTTGTCTTTGACTTCTTTTTCTCATTCCATCTGGATTTATGATAGGAACTATCTTCCCTTCTCCTGCCTGGGCTCAGATGGTGAAAACTTTAAAACAACAGACTGATGCCCTGCTCTCAGTGCCTGTTCTTGGCCTGTCCCACTGTACTCAAGAGCCGCAGCAGCAAAGGAAGCCTTGCTGCACCACTTTGCTCCTAGTATGGAGAGGCCCTGCAGTTGAGCTGGCACTGACTCAACATCCGCATCAGAAACCTGGCAAAGACAAAATCCCAGCAAGAACAGACTCTTCAAGGATTTAAACCAACAAACTCAAAGAATTTCTACTGAGCCTATGCAAACTGAAAATTTTCAAAGCCAGATTTTCAGAGAAACAGTGTTACTGTTAGAGAAGCAGTTCAACTTCCAAAGGCCTTCTCTAGAACAGAGGACTTGATACAAAAATTCACAGATAGCAGTTAGCATGGGCCAAACTATGTGTATCTGCTTACGTGCCTTCTTACAGACATGTTGGTGGTTTTGGTCAATACATTTTCAAAACAAGATTTTAGCTTCATGTGGACAAGGTGTGTTAACACCAACCCAAATGGTGAAAAGTCTGAAAAGTTTTAAAGAAGTACTTTAACAGAAGTTGTAACTGGCATTTTGGCAGATGTGTGGCAGGTAGTGCCATCAGTCCAACCAGCAACGGTTCTTGCAATTAGCTCCAGCTATTAATAGACAATCAGTTTTTTTTCCTATGGGAGCCAATGCACAGGATTTAACCGAGTTCTGTGTATCCCAAAAGCTTGACAGGCTGGTGTTATGTCCCAGAATGATTTGGGACAAAGCATTCTCAAATATTCTTTGAAATTCATTTTAACTTAAACGTTCTTTGAAATTAATTTTAAGCAATTTGTCACATAAATGTCCAACCTGCTGCTATACTCCCAGAACACTGTGCTCAAAACTGCTGGAATTGGATAATGTGCCATTTTGTATAAGTATTCTAATATCACGTCTGGCTTAAATTCATCTGTAACTGGAGAACTAGGGTTTGGTGTGTGGTGTTAATGTCTTACCAGCCTCTGGGTGTTTTTAACAACCCTGGCACTGCCCGCTTGGACACACTTGGATGCAGATTCCACCTCTTCAAAAAGCATCTGTAGGATCGATTGTTGTATCAGAAGAAGGAGTGGGTGCTGATAACAGTCGCTAGCAGCAACTCTGTTCTGAGTTGAAAGTTATTTGTCTGTTAATCACACAAAATCACGCAGGCAATGAGTTGGAGAATTGGTAGGAGCAGCCCTGGCTTCTGGGCCACGCAAACTGTATTAATGTATATGGTAGTGCCTCAATTTATGGATTTGATTGTCCTGAATAAGACCTCAGAAATATGTATCCAATGGCGCAAAACTCTGAAAGGCAAATACTAAAAGAGCAGTATCGCTTCAAACTCCGGAAGTGTCAAGTCCGTGGTGATCCCGAGGGCGAGGTGAGGCAGTGCCCGCGAACACAGGCACCTCCACCGCCGGGCGTTCTCGGGGCCGTTCCGGGGTGGCGTTGGCCGGTACCTCGCCGGTGGCGGAGGCGGGAGGAG